GGACATATGTTCCGTTAATATGACAGAAAACATTGTACGGACTATGTGTGCGTACCACTACTATTATGTTTGTTTGTGATGCCGGGGGAGCCCACCAGATCACGTTTACAGACGCGCACATTACTGCAATGTGTGTGCGTGCGTGCGTGGAGTGCGTGCATTTCTGTTTGCGATGCGTGGCGTGCGTGCGTGCCGTGGTCGCTGAGTGCGTGCTGGGTGCGTGTGTGTGTATCTGTCTGGGTCCTGTAGTCTGTGTGCGTGTGTGTGCGTGGTTTGTGGGCAGTCTGCTAATCATTTTTTATTTAGTTAATTAGTTAGGGTCGGTTCGGATCGGTCGCGTAGGTCGAGTCGGTCAGCACACACACACACACACACACACACACACACACACACGCACGCACACACACAGCACACACGCACACTCACCCAAAAATATTTAGGCCTACGTATAAATTATGCATATGGTTTAGAGGGAAGGCGCGGGAACTCAGTGCAAGTTATTCCAGGCAGTTGGGCAAGCAAAGCTGCGAGGCATGGTGGCGTGCGATGAGGGCCGTTACAGTGAGGCTGTTAACATCCTAAACCCACACAGATACATCATCATCGATATAGGAGGTAGCAACGCTCAGGTACGATGCACTCACAAACCACTAGATTTACGCATGCAGTGACGCAATGTTACGATGAACTTGTAATCTATGATAATGTAAATAACTAAATAAATAAATGAATAAATAATACGTAACTAAATTAATAAAAGAATAATATTTAAATAACTAAATAAATACATAAATAAATACGCACACACATGCACGCGCACACACGTACACACACACAAGCGCGCGCGCATTTTACATAACTGCATTGTGGTTATTTCGTAAACGTAACTGCATTGTCATTGCTGGAATATAGATGAATATAATATAGTGAATCTACCCACGTGTTCTTACCCAGTATTGGAAATTATCTTTGTATAGAGAGACGTGTTCAATCAACTTCTTATACACGCCGCAATGAAGTCAGATCTTTCAGAACATCAGCGACTAGCGAGGTAGGTGCGGGAAGACATCAACTCAAGCCAAAAAAACAATTACATATATGCGCAGCCAAACGTACCACTAGTAGAGGGCAGGAGGCACAAAGACACCTATGAAAACATAATATAGGTGCATAGAAATATAGTGACAAGATGTCGTAAACTGCGAGTATTCGCCTAATAGTGTTTTTTCGTCTATAGGATAGAGTTTAGTTTCGATTGTTTCTGCCGCGTGCAGGTCGCTGTTGATAGAATGGAAGGCGTACAAGCGTGACTCGCCGATGACAGACCGGTTGATGGCGCGTGCCATGGCTTCACACGCAGAGTAAACATCTTTTCCTCTAATAAACCTGCAGTAGACCTATCCGCATGGCGTGACTGAGAGACAACGCAAGCCAATCATCGTGTGGCGAGGCATCCTATAAAAGGCAATGTCTGGCTACAAAGTGTCGCAAGTCGACGTTTTCTTGCGTGCACGCGTACGTATAGAACACATAATCGGGTCTAGCTTAACTGACTTAGCTTAGACTTATCATTATCTTACTGACGCCTAATAACTAATAATTAACAATATCTACCATATTACACGAAGGCGTGGGTATCTTGCTCGATCAGACAGACATTTCAGGTTCAGAGTTTTCGTTAATTGGATGG